TGTTTCCCATGTTTTTTGCCATGAAGTGATGGGTTCAGATGCCATGATCTTAGTTATTTGAATGTTGAGTTTTAAGCCAGCTTTTTCACTCTCCTCTTTCACTTTCATCAAGAGGCTCTTTAGTTCCTCTTTGCTTTCTGCCATAAGGGTGGTGTCATCTGCATATCTGAGGTTACTGATATTTCTGTCAGTAATCTTGATTTCCACTCGTGCTTCATCCAGCCTGGCATTTCTCATGATGTACTCTGCATATAAGTTAAATAAACAGAGAGACAATGTACAGTCTTGACGTACTCCTTTCCCAGTTTGGAATAAGTCTGTTATTCCATGTCCAGTTCTAACTGTTGCTTTTTGACCTGCATACAGATTTCTCAGGAGGCAGGTAAGGTGGTCTGGTATTCCCATCTTTTCAAAAATTTTCCACATTTTGTTGTGATCCACACAGACAAAGGCTTTAGCGTAGTCAATGAAGCAGATGTTTTTCTGGAATCCTCTTGCTTTTTCTATGAGCCAATGGATGTTGGCAATTTGATCTCTGGTTCCTCTGCCCTTTCTGAATCCAACTTGAACATCTGGAAAGTCTCAGTTCAGGTACTGTTGAGGCCTCACTTGTAGAATATTGAGCATTACTTTGCTAGCGTGTGAGATGAGTGCAGTTGTGCGTTGAACATTCTTTGGTGTTGCCTTTCTTTGAGATCGGAATGAAAACAGACCTTTTCCAGTCCTGTGGCCGCTGCTGAGTTTTCCAAATTTGCTGGCATTTTGAGTGCAGCACTTTTACAGCATCATCTTTTAGGATTTGAAATAGCTCAAGTGGAATTCCATCACCTCCACTAGCTTTGTAATGATGCTTCCTAAGGCCCACTTGACTTCACACTCCAGGATGTCTGGCTCTAGGTGAGTGATCACATCATCGTGGTTATCTGGGTCATTAAGATCTTTTTTGTATAGTTCTGTGTATTCTTGCCACCTCTTCTTAATACCTTCTGCTTCTGTTAGGTCCATACCGTTTCTGTTCTTACCAGATACTAAGACCAGCTGTTTTAGGCAGAGGTTCTTATTTTTCTGTCACATGACTTTGCGTGATAAATTCTGGATTCTTTATAAAAGTAGATCTATGACTTTCGGGTAAAATATTTGTTAAAATTGTAATAAAATGTCTAGCTATATTTGAACATCAGGTAACCATAATGTTCCAGAAATCCGTCTGAAATCTGAAAGTGAGAAAAAAGGCCTGAATTCCAGAAATAGCTGACCTAAAAGAACATTAAATATAGCCCTCAGGCTCTTAGGCATTTATTAACATACACATTTTGACAATTTCCTTTCTGGTTCCTTTGGCTCACAGAAATTTTAGACAGGAAATGAGCTTGTGAAAATGTGATTAGTAATGAATGAGGCTGAAGATAGCAGAAGTCAAATGATTTCCAGTGTTTAAAACTGCAGAAAAAGTTTGAAAATGAAAGAATTGCCAAAGTAATTTCTGAAATTGTCATGTACCCTGCCCCTATTTTCCTTAAAAATGCCTCCCCACCCCATAGAGACATTATCAAATAAAATCTACAGAGCTTTTCAGTGAGATATACATGTGGTACACACTTGAATTGAATTCCCTATACCCCCAGACAAAAGATAAGATATGGCCTTTGCCCTCTTCCAGTAAGTATTACTAGACCTTCACTGTGCTTTGCCCCACTTTCCTCCTGTCTCATTCCTGCCTAAAGAGACATGAGCCTTTGGCTTCCTCAGTTAGTATGCATTGGCTGCAGTGTTGCCAAGTGTTTGCCATGGAATAGCATAGAATTTGCAGGTTTAAAGTGTTCATTGGACTTTTCCCTGCTTCTTTATAACAGCATGCACATTCATGACCATTAATAAATGGAGGAGGGCATGGCAACCCACTCCAGTGTTGCCTGGAGAATCCCATGGACAGAGGAGCCTGTCGGGCTACGGTCCATAGAGTCGCACAGAGTCAGACGTGACTAAAGCGACTTAGCATGCGTGCACTCTGAAAATGGCTTTACTGGATAGCAGAGCAGAGATTCTGGAGTCAGATGAACCTGCAATTACTGTCACCTCTGGTTTGGCAACTTGCTCTCATCTTTCTGTATCTTGGCTTTTTCTTTTATGGGGATAATAACAGCATTTAACTTTGGGGGTTATGATGAAGTTAACTGAGAAATTTGTTAGTTGCTGTTATTACACAATAAGTTTCAATAATGGTGCAATTGCTTGATGTTAGCTCTTAACTCCTTTCTTTTCTGATGGAGTCCTCTCTGGAAACCCTTACCTAGTATTTTTGTTTTGGGCCCTGAAGTGTTAAATTTTCTCCAGACTTAGCTGCAACATTTGCAAATTCTGTGATAGCACATAAAAATGTGAATTTCCGGGTTTCTCTTCTAAAATGGGGAAACATGGCGGCATTGGCCTGGAACGTTTACCTGTGAAGCTGGATTGCAGGTGCTCTTGAGAGGTAAAAGGCACATATCTGCCTTGGTCCTCACCAAGACTCCTTCATGCATTTGTGTCACCAGCCTGCCCCCACAGAGGTCTGAAGCCTCCCTCCACTTCTCTCCGCACCTGGATCGTCTGGCTTTTAGAAGGTGTCCTGCAAGAGGCAGATCTAGTGACATCTGAATCCCCTACATCACCTTGGTTTGAAGACTTGGGCTTCTCTTTTCTTTATGGATTTAGAGTGCAGCCTTGTCAGTGACTTTATGACCAAATTAGGACTTACTTTTAGCTTGTGTGTTAGTTTCTGAATTTTGTCATGGTGAGGGTATCTATTGCTAAAGCAGTTTCTTCTAAAATGTAGAAGATCGACCCTTCTCTTTTTGACTCGGTGGATGGTGATGGATGAAAATAACTCTCTTGCTCTATGGTAAACTTGCTCAAGTGCAGAAGTTATATTTAGCTTTTGCAATAGGAGTCTGTAAAACTATGTGAGAGGGAAAGGGCTTGCTAACTGGAGTCATGCCTCAAACCTTTCTACCAGAGGTTCCATAGAAGTTGCAAAGACCAGGACAGCATTTAATTTTTGACTTGCAGTTGGCAGCTGTTAAGAATGCTTGATATTTGCTCATTTGAACATTAAATTCAGTTATAGGGGTAACCAAAGTGGTGTTCTTTGTAGAACTGACGGTGCAGGAATACCAAGATTCTTCCTAACCTGAAGTAAATAAACTTCCTAGAGTCTGAACACTTTAATTACTGCTCAGTACCCAGCTCACGGCAACCCACCTGGCAGGCTACAGTCCATAAGGTCGCAAAGAGTCGGACACGACTGAAACGACTTAGCACGCACACACACACCCAGCTCATAGTAGGCATTCAATCAGATTTTGCTGAATGAATGCTACGTGGACAAAGATATGCTTTAGATAAGGGTTAGGAAGCTATGTTTGGTCTGGCCTGTGACCTGTTTTTGTACAGCCTGGGAGCTGATTATACTTCTTACTGTTTTAAAGGATAATATTCAAAGAATATGTGACAGAGATCCTTTGTGGCCCATAAAACCAAAAATGTTTGTTTTCTGTCTTTATTTACAGAAAGTTTGCTGATCCCTTCTTTAGATGATGGAGGCACTCACTCCTCTCTCCTTTTCATTTTTACTTTGCTCTTAGAAACCTAAATAATTGTTGTAGGTGGTGGCATCGTGGTGGGATGTTTGTGACTTACTAAACAGGGCAGAGAGATTGCCAGACCTATGAAGGCTTTTAATAGGAAACAGAGAAACTGCTTCTGCTGAATGTTTAATAAAATCTAGACTGACTTGGTGTTTGTAAGTCTTCAAGAACTGCTTGAACATGTCATTGAGTTTTTACTATATGGTGTCACCAAGAACTGGAAGAAAACTTTGAAATCCTTATTCAACCATTCATGAGTAAAGTATGGTGAGGAAATAAAGGACTTCTCAAAATGAAAGCACTTTAGAGAAACAAGGCTTTTCCCAAACTGCTGTATTTAATGATTTTTTTTTAATTGAAGATTTTGAGATGAGGATTACTAAAATGGGAGCATTTAGTCTGTTCACTGAAGTCCCTGGAGGGCCCAGTGAAATATGACAGTATAACCTCAACTCTGGCAAGTTCCTAAACCTCTGTTTTTTCCTTAGTGTCTTCATCTGCTGATAGCAGTGCCTACCTCATAAAATTGTTAGGAGGAATAAATGAGTCTGTATTTGTAAAGCACTTAAAACTGTGTGTGGTACTAATACATCAGTAGTAAGAACTGGGTTAGTGTTTGCTAAATAAAGAAGGCAGTGGCTAAAAGAATGCTACTGCTGCTGCTAAGTCGAGTCAGTCGTGTCCGACTCTGTGCGACCCCATAGACAGGAGTCCACCAGGCTCCTCTGTCCCTGGGATTCTCTAGGCAAGAACACTGGCGTGGGTTGCCATTTCCTTCTCAGGCTAAAATAATAATAATGGTCAATTTTATTATTAGGTTTAAAAGTTTGAGGAGTCCTCATTGGCTGTTAAAACATTTATTACTGGAGAGAAGGTGCTTCTGATCCTTAATAAAATGCTAGAGCTGATGTTTTGGGTATTTGAGACATAGTCTCCTTGCACCGTTATTGCTTAGTCAGATATATGTCTGATTCATTCAGCTCATATAAATCTTGAATCACTTGTTGGTACTTTAAAATCATTTTCAGTAGTTAATTCTCATGATAGCTTTCCAGTCTTCCCATTTTAGATAGTAGAGCTGGAGGGGTAAGGTGGTGACCTTTGTTATGCTTTCTGATTTTAGAGGAAACAGCATCAACTATTTGGTAATGTACTCCAGAGGAAAATGATCATATCTATTAACTGTTTTAATTAGATTCTGAAATTCCTGAATCGAGCCTGGCAGCTTAGTGAAATATCCATATTGCTTTTACCAAATCTCCAAGGAGTATGCCTATAGTAGTTTGGCATTTACATGGGATGTATTTATTTGAAGGTTTAATTTTAAAACTTTCCTTGAATTTTGTCTTTAATTGGCTGTTATTTTTCTTACAGTTTGCAGTGTTGATGTGGGTGTTTACCTATGTTGGTGCCTTGTTCAATGGTCTGACTCTACTAATTTTGGGTAAGTCTACAAAACCAATAGAATGAAAAATTTTTTAAAAGATGGGGAACTTCCTGGAGGACTAGTGGTTAGGACTCCCATATTTCCACTGCAGAGGCCATGGGTTTGATCCCTGGTGTGGGAACCAAGATCCTGCATACTGCACAGTACAGCCAAAAAAAAAAAAAAAAAATTGTGTGCAACGAACTTCAAGATATTTTAGTGGAAAATATTCTTATATTGTAGGAAAAATACAGGGATATACATTAGAGGTTGTGATCTTCTTAAATAAATTGCTAATACTTACACTGTTTATCGAAATGCCACTTTACTTACTGAAGGCTACTCCAACAGTGATAAACCAGATCAAGAGTGGCCTTATTTGATGTGCAGTCGTATGTCTAACTAACAGGGATGCCTGTATTTTATAAAGTCTGTAATGTGAAGCCGGGAGTGGCTCCTGGCTCCCTGGGTTAACTCATTGCTTTGCCCCCCAGCAGCTGTGTCTGCCCGTAGTAGGAACAGTCCTGGCTATCTTAAGAGTGCTGCCAGTTTGATGACTTTGGTGTGAATTAGGGAACAAACCCTGCAATCTGCTTTAAAGCTTGTGTATTTCCTTTTTCAGCTCTGATTTCACTCTTCAGTGTTCCTGTTATTTATGAACGGCATCAGGTAATTTAACTGCAGATTGCAGAATACAAAGCTCATTCTCTTATGTGGAACTTAGAAATGTCGGTGCCAGTTTCCAAAACCTTATGAAAATGAGAAATGTGGCAGTTTAATTAAATTAAGCCTTTAATGTGTTGGAACACAGTTCTAAGATTTTTTAGCAATGGTAATTTTCTAATAAATTCTTTATCTCTTTCAGGCGCAAATAGATCATTATCTAGGACTTGCAAATAAGAATGTTAAAGATGCTATGGCTAAGTAAGTATTTAAAATCTGCACTTTTTTTACACCAAGGCTAGGTATACTGGACTTTGACAACAGTGCAGTATTTTCATGTCAAGACATAGTAGTCAGTTTTAGTCAGACCTAAAGTGTGAGTTGCCAAAAGACTTTTTTTCTAACATTTGGATCATTGCTTCTGTGTCAGCTTACATGTATCTAAGGCTTTGAGTCTAATTTGTGAGGTCAAGGTGGCAAAATTATAGCTTGTAGTTTGACAGCCTTAAGATTTTATTTCTTGTATAAGCTGAGCAATGTACATGTAAGTCTTGAAGGATAGACATTTTTAAGAAGCAGAAAACAGAATATTGTAAATTCAGAGTATTTACACTGACCTTTTCCCCCTCCTTCTCATTTGTAGAATCCAAGCAAAAATCCCTGGATTGAAGCGTAAAGCTGAATGAGAAAGCCTGAAATAGTTAATAGGAGTTTTATCTTTAAAGGGGATATTCATTTGATTCCATTGGGGAGGGTCAGGGAAGAACACAGCCTTGACATTGCAGTGCAGTTTCACAGATCTTTATTTTTAGCAACGCAGTGTCTGAGGAAAAATGACCTGTCTTGACTGCCCTGTGTTCATCATCTTAAGTATTGTAAGCTGCTATGTATGGATTTAAATTGTAATCATATTTGTTTTTCCTGTATGAGGCACTGGTGAATAAAAAAAGATCTGAGAAAGCTGTATATTACACTTTGTCGCAGGTAGTCTTGCTGTATTTGGGGAATTGCAAAGAAAGTGGAGCTGAAAAAAATAACCCTTTTCACAGTTTGTGCACTGTGTATGGTCTGTGTAGATTGATGCAGATTTTCTGAAATGTTTAGACGAGATCATACCACCAAAGCAGGAGTGAAAAAGCTTGCCTTTTCTGGTATGTTCTAGGTGTATTGTGAAATTTACTGTTGTATTAATTGCCAATATAAGTAAATATAGATTATATATATATCTATATATAGTGTTTCACAAAGCTTAGACCTTTACCTTTCCAGCTGCCCCACAGTGCTTGATACTTCTGTCATTGGTTTTATGTGTGTAGTTCCAAAACACATAAGCTAGGAAAAAAACATATTTCTAGGTGCACTACCATCTGTTTTCAACATTAACCGATGCCATGCAAACAGAACTCAACATAAACTTCATTGCACAGACTTACTGTAGTTAATTTTATCACAAACTCTGGACTGAATCTAATGCTTCCAAAAATGTTTGCAAATATCAAACATTGTTATGTAAGAAATTATAAATGACGATTTATACAATTGTGGTTTAAGCTGTACTGAACTAAATCTGTGGAATGCATTGTGAACTGTAAAAGCAAAGTATCAATAAAGCTTATAGACTTAAAAGATGTTTCGTATTTTGGTTTCATGAACCTGCTGTAGAATGAAAGTATCAGACACAAAGGGTAGACTTTGCCTCCACCAGTGTGTGACTTCCAGAAAGGCTTTAAGCTCACTGTAGCCATGTTTACTTTGAAAACAAGAACATGTCTACATAAATCTGACACATACCAAAATGTTTTTAAATTATGTATTTTTATACTTTAATTGAAAATAAATTCATGCACCAATATTTTAACATATGGAATACAGTGCAGGATTTATGAACATACATAAAATCATACCATATAAATGTTTACAAATCAGATTTAAGAACTTTTCTTGACACACAGACACTATTGCTCTTTAAATATAGTGTGTACATATATCATCATTGATAAATTTGTTCTTCACATAGTTATTTCAGTGCAAGAGTGAGTCAGTATGAAAGGTCAGTGTACAATATAGGCAGACATGGTTATCGCTCAGCATCACCAGTCACATGGATACAGAAAACAGAATTAGGGCTGCATGGGGACTCTACCTGTGGGCCCAACAACCTATCAGTGGATTAATGTAAGGCATTAATAAATTGGCGTATAAAAATAGCTTAATGAGTGATCTAATCCATTTAGAATGTTGAAGCACTTCTGTGGTAAATGGTAATCTATTTAATTGAAAATGCTTCGTTTCACCATTCCTCTAAACTGACAGTTGAAAATCGCCAGTAACTCAAGATCCAGAATTTTAGTTCATTGACTAGAAGGTCTAATTGGTATAATCTATGTACTCAGAGTCCCAGTCTGTCACCAAGCTGCCTTCCAGCACGTGCCATCATCAGCCCCTCCTGTCAGTGGTCAGCAAGTGTCAAGTATGATGGGAGGTGGTCCAGGGTGCTTCTGATTTTGTTGGCCAAGTCACATTCTGTCAACCAGCCAACTCTGAGCTAGATTATTTTGTTCTGTAATCTTGAGTTGTCAAATACTGCTTTGGGCTTAGGAATTTGTTCTGCAGAGATTTTTGAATCCAGAGCTGACCTGTGTCGTTCACCTGAAGCACATCCCTGGAGTCAAGTCCACCCCGCTCTGGGAGTGGCCCTCCCAGCGCAGCCTCCGGGCACCTCCTCTGTTACCGTTTTAGGTTCAGTAGGATAAATCAGCTCATCTTCCTGGACCTACTTGAGCTTTTTTGTTTTCCCTTCTATTTTGTAGTAGAGGTTTGTTTTATTTGAAATGTTTTGGATGTTGTGGGTTTGGCACTCAGTATAATGAAACCTACTCTACTCACCCATCTTCCAACACCTGATCTTAAGTTTCTTTGCTGCTCAACTTCAAATAGCCACTGTTTCCCAAGCACATAACTAATGTGTTTCCTTTGGGAAGCCTTGACCTAAACACATGACATGGGTGACCAGGAATCTGCTAGGATCCTGTAGCCCTCCTCAGTTTTGAAGTTTTAGCACCATATATAGAAAGGAGATAATTTGTGGGAGGTGAGATTAGCAGCCCACACAACTGGAAGCTTTCAAAGGCACTTAATGGATATAAAACTCTGCAAATGAAACATTAAAAAAATTAAGTTTCTCAACTTGTTTATACATGGCTCATTTGGTTTTGAAAGCTAAATGTGAACAGAGGCTATCAGTATTTCTAGTATTTCAGTGAATCTAACTTAAGCTGTCCTGTTCAACTTCCTTATTTGTAAAAATGAACATTTTTAAAGTATATAGAAACATAATAGCAAAACATCTTTTGTAAAAGTTTTGATGCAAATTAAAAGCTACATATTGGTTAGGGTAACTGAGGCTCTAAATTTTGTCAGTGGGCTACATTATCAGATAGGATTTCTTTGTCAGTGTAGTGAGTACGTGTAGTTTGTAGTCTCAGGAAGAGAGGCAAGCAGTCAACACGTCAGCACTGACCTTCCTTCTTGACATCCCAGTTTTGGAAGCTCCAGGTGATGGAAGCAGTCACATCTCACCAGCACTTGGAGCTCATGTGGCTTGTTGCGGTGTAGACCTTTCCCAGCAGCTGGCAGCCAGGAGGCACCCTGTCACGGCCTCTGTGGTTGCCAGCCGTGGCAGCAGCAGGAAAGCAGATTCTGGCATTTACAGGCATCGCCACACAAATACACTGAAAAGACAGACCAAACATTTTGCAGGGCTGGACATCATAACTTTTGTCAAGCGACAAAAGTCATTCTTGCCAAGAGCTCCAGAGTCAAGCTCAGGCTGAACATTTTGATTTCAATTTTAAAAGACAAACCAGGGATCTTGCTACCAATTAAAGGCCTATTGGTTATTTTTTTTTAAGGTCTATGTTATCTGTTTGGTCTGGCTCTTTCAGCATGTCCCTTCTGAACTGGACTGCTGGCAGCTTGACTTCACACTTCTCTCTTGTTACCACTGGAGAGGTTTTATCAGCTCCACTCAAGCAGGAGAGCTCTTTCTAGTGTTCAGCACAGGGCCAGGGGTGACAGGAGCCCATGGCTGCCAGGCCGAGGGGGCCCTGTGTTGGGAAGTTGCCACCCAAGCCCTTTATAGTGACCGACAGCCCCCTCAGATCTCCGGGTTAGCGTCTGTCTGCTGCGGCTGCTTGTTCACGGTTGGGTTGGTGCTGCTTTGGTTGGGGGTCCTCCCCCCACTCCCCACCCCGGGAGCTGCTGGCAGCCCTTTCTCAACAGCTCTAAGTGCCTGCGGCGGTTGACACAGTGCCCTGGAGATGGATGTTTCCCGGGGGGCCAGTAGAAAGCATCCTTTGGGGCCATTTTCTACACAATGCTTTTGGGTAGAAAGTGGGTTAAAATTCTCTACAGGTACCTTTTCCACAACCTTACTCAGACTACTAAAAATGCATGCGTTTCTTCTTGATGCCCCTTTGAGCCCAGCCCTCAACTGAACAGAAACCAGTATTCATGTTTCTGTAAAGCTCTTCATCTACATGAGATGTGGAGAAGCTGAATGACTTTGGATGACATCGTGCTGCTCCCCCACACTCCAGATAAGAAAGGCCCTTGGTGGAGGGACACGAGAGAGCTCCTTGGAGGTTCTGATAGCATCTCTGGAGTAGGCTGCTAGGGGGTTCTTCCAAAACTTTGGAAGACCTCATGCCTCCCAGAGCATGGGGCCTGTTTCTCACTGAGCAGTGGTGAAGGTTAGGGGCAGACCCAGTTCAGGAGTCCACACAGCTGGGTGAGGTTCTCCAGCTTCTAACTAGCACTGGAAATGGCTTTACCCCTTGTCTGATTTCACATGTAAAACCGGGTAACGTGTTCTGCCTGACTGAGGCCCAATATTACTATTTGTAAACCTCTCACAGAGTTTTGGATTAATCATCCATGTTAAGAACTCTAGTGATGAACTGGAAGTTCTGAGTTATAAGGCCCATGGATCAAGGTCACTCTAAGCTCCTGATTATATGCAGTGGGTGCTGCGGGCTGTCCAGCAGCTCCTACTGAAATCGCCACGTGGAGGTTGGGTCTCTCAGCACCTGCCCCTCCAACCAGCAATGCTCAGAGTAGCTCTGATCTGCCCTTGGCTTCTCTCCAATCCCAGGCCAGCCTAGTGGGGACAGAGGCCCATCACAGTTAGGGTTTGGGGTCACCGGAGACTAAATACCTTACACTGGGCAAGTCCTCACTGCATCTCCTGGTCACTTCCTACACCAGCCCCTCCCGTGCCCCTGGGAGGAGCTGACAATTGAGGTGGGGATGGTAGGGGTGAAGGCCAGGCCTCGGGGCAGAGCCAGATGAATCAGGTTGGTACCTGCAGTCGTCTCCTCCAGTGCTGACTACATACTTGTCGTCATGAGAGAAACGGATGTTCGTCACATGAGCTGAGTGACCGAAGTAACGCTTATGTTTGGCCTGTGAGCAAAAGGGAATTGAGGTGACTAAGACAGCCTGTCTTTCAGCAACCCTGGACTACTCCCAGGACCCTGCTCCATCTCCCAGGCTTCCCTTCACCCTCAGGGTGCCTATTAGGTCTGGACGTCTCTGGGAGCCAGCCCTTCACTGGCTTCCTGCCTCACTGTTGCCCTGCTCGGTACCCTTACCCCCATTCTCCTGGCTTCCAACACTTCCCCTCATGAAGGAGAGGAAAAGGTTAGGGGTGGCCAAGTCTCCCCAGGGCTGTGACAAGATTCCTCTTGTGCTAGACTGTAGATAGTCGTGTCCATGTGGCCACAATCTCCGGGAGAATGCACGTCCGAGAGCCTAGAGGCTGTGCAGGGAGTTACTCTAAGGGAAACTCACAAATTTCTCTGTGCACGGAAAATCAAAGAGCTTCACCAGCCCAAAGTCGTCTCCCGTGACGATGTTCAGGCCTGCGTGGGTCACACAGGCGCAGTTGACGTCAGCCTTGTCTGCATTTCGCGGCCAGATGCCAATGACTTCGTCTCCCAGAATGCTGTTCCAACAGGAAGAGGTGTGAGGTGTGGGACAAGGCTTCCTGCAGTCAGGCATCCTCTCCCGGAGGAGAGGAAGAGTCAGTGCGGTCACGTGGCTCCTCTGTCCCCTCCCCCTCTGTGCACTGGCCCCAGCTCCTGCTGTTCTCTGCCTCGGGCGCCTTTCACCCCAAAAGACAAATTCCCTCCATCTTTGGTTCTCTCCCTCCCCCCCATAATGCTTCTGAGTGTGGGTTTGGTTGAAGAGTGGGGGCTCCTTAAGTCTCCAGGCTGATGGTCTCCTCTCTTCTGACTTGGCAGGGCCCTGCTGCTTACCCTGCTACCTGGTGACCAGCCCTCCCTCCCCATCCCAGGGGTTGGCCCAGAGCTGGGAGATGCTTTCCCTTTGAACTTGTTGGGTGCAGCTGGGGATGGGTGGGACAGATTACACAACAAGAGGGACTCTGCATTTCAAAAGCCCAGGTCAGATCAAAGTCTGTGGCCCAACCTGGGAGCAGGAAGCTTCCCTCCCCCGACGGCCCAAGGGAAAGAGCTCTGTCTCTGAGCTGCTTCAGATCCCAGCCCCACACAAACTTGAGGCTGAGGCCGGGACAAGCGTAGCCACCCTTGGGACATTTCCTGCAGTC